GACAGAGAGAGAGAGAAGAGGGGAGGAGTAGATCTTGCGAGAACTTCCGGGCGGGTGAGAATAGCCACTTTCAATCTAGATATCTAGATCTTAGATCTAGATTCTCTAATATCTAGAATCCAGATCTAGAAAAAATCTAGATCTAGATTCTAGATCTAGATGTAGATCTAGATCTAGACGAAAATCTATGCCGTCTCCCACTGATTCAAAACTTTGCGCTGTAGTTAAGAATACACGTAAATCACGGCAATTTCAACAGGTGGAAATCTACCTTTGACATGTACTCATACTGGCTTAAATAGGCCTAGATCTGATCTAGATCTAAATCTAGATCTCTAGAATCTAGATCTACCTACTGGTTTTTTAATTTTATGGCCATTGAGTGTAATATTTCATGATAGAGTTCGGAGTGGTCGCTCGTTAACGAAGTCCTCCCTGGAATTAAACGCTTGAAAGTAGCATCAAGGTCTACGTACACGGTAATCGGGCACGTAGCTTCAGTGTCTACGTACATGGTAACCGGGCACGTAAGGTAGCCTCAGTGTCTACGTACACAGTAACCGGCAACCGGGCGCCTCTCATTATCTACGAACGCGGTAACCGGGTATTTAGTTCCGTGGGGGCTGGGGGGGGGGATTGAGCTAGGTGCACGGTAACTGCTTTGCTCCCTTCATAACCTCGACCTTTTTCCCTTTTCACTGTGTAGTCTCAATGTCACACACACAGTAACTGGGCATGTAGCCTCAATATCTACGTACACGGTAACCGGTAACAGGGCGCCTCTCATTACATGTATTACGTACACGGTAACCGGGTATTTTGTTTTGGGGGGGGGGGGGGCTTAAGCTAGGTGCACGGTAACTGCTTCGCTCCCTTCATGACCTTGACCTTTTTCCTTTTTCACTCCGCTTTTTGTGTGTTGTTGTGAGCGGAATGTAATCCCAAAAATGATCCCAATCTACCCCCTGTCATCTTTCCTAAGGGAGAGCAAAATGCAGTGACACTGAAACTGAAAATCTGCGAATCTGGATCAGAAAGCTAAAATATAGATGCTTACAAAACATGTAATACTATCACGAGAAAGAGAGAGAACGAGACTCAGAAAACAGAGAGAGGGAGAGAGAGAGAGAGAGAGAGAGACAAAGAGAGAAAATAAAAAAGTATGCACTTGATGAGGTCATAGTCTCTTAGAACAAAGGACAATGAAACATACGTACTATCACCAAGGAGATCCTTGACTATCACCCATCAAATGAAACGCGGACCTTTTGGTTAAAAAACACGGCTTACTTGGTATGAGTCGACGGATCCCAATTCCGTACAGGGCTTGCACCAATGCACGTTTTTCTGTAGCAGGAAGCTCTAGTAATAATCAAAATTCTAAATACAGTCAAACCTGGCCTGACGGCCACCTCTATAAGACGGCCACCTGTACAAACGGCCACTTTCCATTTCCCCCCTTGCGTTTTTTTCTATATACTTTAACTGTGTAAAACGGGCACCTGTCCAATGCGGCAGCGGCCACCATATTTTAACACACAACCAACCCCTATCACACTAAGCAATAACACCTGTCTTAGACGGCCACCTTAGTCATGACTCCATTACGTTTTGTCATAAATTGTGCCTTTGGCCCCTGGCGTTTTGGGCGAGCCGTCATAATTCAATCACCTGTCATTGTTGTAAGGTAGTCCCTCCAACCGATCATGTTGCGTAGGCCCCTCCCACTGTTGACCTATAGTCTAGCTACCAAATTTCAGCTGCTGGTGAGGTTAGCGTGTGATCCCTCATAACCCATAAGCCCCGCCCAGAACTCATACACAAAACGTAAGTGAGATGAGTGGTCACTGTTTACCCAGTCTGTAACAATGGACGTCAACATGAACTTGTGATAGAAGCGTCGCTCGTTCTCCGAGTGGTGGCGACCCATGCGTTTGTTTTAACATGGCACTCGGTCTTCCATGTCTGACACATTTCGTTTTATTGTCACCCTTGTGCAAAATCAGCGACAAAACAAAAATTACAAACAAAATACAAACCAACAACAACAACAAAAACAACAACAATGCGGCTACTTTTGATTGAGACCTCAGATGGGAATGGGTTTTTTTCTTCATCTTGATCAGTCCTGCCTAAGACGGCCACCTGTCTTATACGGCCACTTTTCTCCTTGACAATGGGTGGCCGTCTTACACAGGTTTGACTGTACTAAAATTTGCTTCCAAGTTCAGTTTTTGTCATCCGATGTTGCCTTCAACCCCACTCCTCCCCCCGACTGTACCTTTTTTAAAAATCAATAATCCCCCATTCCGGAGCCCTATACTTTGCGCAGCGCACACTTTGAATGAACTTCGGTGACCCCAATGATCACTGGTACTGGTACTCATAATGTGATGCAAAGGTACAGGTTCACTGACCGGTCACGATGTCGAGCCTGACAAGACGCTTGTATAACTTTCTTTTTTTTCCGCAAGTGAAAGCACAGGTCAATGATTTCTTTTCATGGCGACACAGCGTTTGTACGCACACAACCTGTATGTTACACATGTTGCGTTAATCAGACTGCTACCGGCAAATTTCTGGGTGGTAAAGAAAGCGAAAGTAGATCGAGCTTCGGTACCACGCATATACTTATGCTTGCCGCCCAAGCGCCTTGTTCATACCTAAAACTATCTTTTGTTTTCGAAAGAGTTAGCACTTGCAACACAATAAGTTCATATAAGTGCCGAAGATTAGAGGTGTTAGTGTTACAAGAGAGTAACAAACACAAAAAGAAGGAAGAGAAAGATAAGGATGATAGATGTTGAATAGGAGAGAAGGAGCAGACCACACCAGAGCACCCACCAACCACCCACTAATACTATCTTTACACACACCACACTTACAATCACGCACAAAAATACATAAACACAGAGAGAGTGAGAGAGAGAGAGAGAGAGAGAGTGAGAGAGAGAGAGAGAGTGAGAGAGAGAGAGAGAGAGGGGGGGGAGAGAGAGAGAGAGACACACACACACACACACACACACACACACACACATCATGCATATACACGTGTGAATAGCCTCTATATAAATTTAATACATGATAGCATATTACACACACACGAATCTCACAACATACACATTGGATAAAACGATATGAGGATAGCTTTATTGGTTGAGTTTGTCAGAAATAGACTTGACTGTGTTACATTATAAACACAAATCTCCATAGCCTCACAACGATATTCTCTCTGTCTCTAAACACACACAAATCACACAACTTACACACTGGATAAAAGTATATGAAAGCTAAAAGAGCAAATAAAAAATGAATGACCCAGAACATATTAAAACTAATGGAAGAGAGAAGACTGTCAAAATCAATCATGGAAAAGTACATCTTTACGGGGTATAGCTAGGGTCAACATCCAAAGGCTATAGTATTTGGTCTAATGCTTGCTTTTCTGCACCAAAGAGTGTGACATAGTACAAAACAAGGTGGCAAAAAGTTCAAGATTTTAGCTATAACTAGTCATAAAAGTACCCGTTCTACGAACGGAATAATGATGAAGAATTATTTGGAAAGTTAAGAAGAGGAAAAAGACTGAAAACAGAAAAGAAACAAAACACAAATATTTTACCTTGAATTTATCCATGTAGCACCCCCTCTTGACTACCTCTAAGGGTAAGACTTTTTCTCCCTCTTCGAAGGCGTGGGCTTTTCTCCTAAAGTTCCAGCTCAATCACTTTTTTTAAAAAAAGAGTTAGGCCTACATGCCAATTGTTGCTTCCTAGAAGAACCTAATCTAGATTCTAGTTCTAGCCTAGATCTCGAAGGATTAAAAAGACATAGAGGCCAATAATTGAAAGAAGGAGCCTTGGCCCATAGATAGATCTAAGTTTAGAAATTCACATTTTTAACAACCGACAGGCGTCACAGATGGCCTAGATTTCCAGATCCATTCACAGTAGGAAAAATCCACTTTCAAGAGTACTTTCATCATTCTTGATCTCGATCTAAGATTCACATAGATCTAGCCTAGATCTAAAGCTCAAACTCAAAGTACAGTAGAATAGCCCAAGTAGACCTATTCAGTGTGAGCGGTGTAAGAACTGAAGAAGGGCAAGATGCAGTGATACTGAAAATCTGCGAATCTTGTTCAGAAAGCTAAAATATAGAGATCTAATTTACTAGCTGTCACTAATACAATGAAACGCGAACACTTACGCCATTTTCACACAAGGCCTGCTCCAACACACACTTTACTTAGCAGAGAGCTGTAGAAGTAATCAAAATTCTAAACATATATATATTTGCTTCCAGTTTCAGGGTTTTTTTTTGTCCTCTGGTGTTGCGTCCAGCCCTCCCCCTATCCCCGAGTGCGTCTTTTTAAAAAATCAATAATCTCCCCCCCATTCCGGAGTCCTGTAATTCGAAGCGCTCAGAGCACGCGCAGGTTCATTGACCGGTCACAATGGCGAGCCCGAAGACGCTTGTACATGTATGTATAACTTTCTTTTCTTTATGTTGCCCCCATAAGTGACGACACAGTGACAAATATTGATTTATTTTCATGGCGACACCACGTTTGTAATGCCGAACTTGCATGTTAAAATAATTGTTGCGTTATCAGACAATTACTGACAAATTTCTGGGTGATAACGAAAGCGAAAGTAAAGGCTTACTGGACGCTCTGTTATGAAAAATTCAGTGGCTGTCATGTTGGATTACAGAGCGGTTGATCCTAGTGCGCCCTCTTCGAAAAAGCGTGAACTTTGCGAACAGAGTTAGAATCTACCCTACTTGTGTGAAAAACAATAAAAGTGACACTCTTTTTGGCTGAGTGAACTATCTCTTGGACCTTCCTGTTACCGTGTACGTAGATACTGAGACTATGTGCCCGGTTACCGTGTACATAGACCCTGAGGCTATGCGCCCGGTTACCATGTACGTAGACACTCCGTAAACAATTACCCATACTAGATCTAATATCTAGAGTCTAGTCTAGATCTAGACTTAATAATCTACTTTTAGAATCTAGATATCTAGATCGTAGAAAGATCTGATATCTAGATTTAGATTTATCTCTAGATTATATATGAATTTACTTTTAATCTACTACAGTTGTACAGGTCTTTGTCTTCACTGCCACCTCCGCTCTACTGTTGTACAGGTCTTTGTCTTCACTGCCACCTCCGCTCTACTGTTGGCATGCGGGTAGGCAACAGATGACACTCGCTGTTGAATGCCCCAGTCCCTAAAGAATCTTTCAGTCTGAGTGGCTGTGAACTCTGGGCCCCCATCGGTAGTGATTTCTTCACTGATGCCAAATGTGATGAAAGTTCTCCGTAGGCTGCTTATTAGCCCACTGGTGCCATCCTTCGCTTTTTCGACGATGGGCCAATTGCTGTAGCAGTCCACAATCACACAGTAGGATTGTCCCCGGTGGTGGAAATAGTCTGCACAGACCATATGAAATGGGTTTCAAGGGATACTAGGGGCGTGGGGGGGGGGGGGGGGGGGGGGCTTGCGGCTGGGATGGTGCGTTGTTGCAATTACACTGGGGATACTTGTCCTGTAGGTTGTGGATGTCTGAGGTTATCCCTGGCCAGAAGACAGAGGCCTCAGCTCTGGCCATCATGGAGGATGTGCCTTTGTTGTGCCGAGTGGAGAGAATCCAGCACCTTCCTGCGCAGCGATAGAGGGACAATAATGCGATCTTTGTATAGTATAGGACTGCGCCATCAAGTGAGTATAGTTCGTCCTTCAGCGTAAAGTAGGCTTGCAATTCCAGCTGCATTTCCCTCTGTATGTCTGGCAGGCTGTCCTCGAGCATGGATAGTAGTGTGCTCATCAACTCGTCTCTGGTGGTTTCAGTGCGAATATCGTCCAATGTGATATTCCTGATGTTCTCCAAAACAGCTGACATCAAGGTGATTTCGTGCTGCTCATCAATTGTTGGTGGCTGAGCAGACATGTCATTCATTAGCTCTGCTATGTCATCCTGTAGGTAGAATCCTTTTGGTTTGCCGACAGGGTGGCGCGACATTCCATCAGCTGCTTTGTGGTGTATCCCAGGGATATGTACCAGCCGAAACCTGTACCTTAGTGACTTTTCCTTGAGATTCCTCAGTCTGGGGTTGGCTACAGCATCAAGGCAACGGTCTCCAAGGACCTTAAGTAAGGGCTTGTGATCCACTGCAACAATGAGGTCCTCACAGTTGAGGACAAAGTGTTTGGCTTTATCAAGGACATTCATGACGGCGAGGGCTTCCCCTTCGATAGGAGCATATCTTGACTTGGTTCTCGTGGTGAATCTGCTCCCTACAAGTGCCACTTTCCAGACATCTTTGCAACAGAGGGGTGTTGTGGGCTCGCAAGTGCTGTGCTTCTGGAGCAGCCAGGAACTGATCCCTGTCTCCTTTCTCCAATCCGTTGCTATGCAGGTTGGGAGGGATTTTTCGAATATTTTGTGATTTCTCTGACAATGGCATCCTTAGATTACTCGAATAGTTTGTTAAAGTTGTCAGACCATCTGAAAGGGGTGCTTGGGCTAACTAGTGCTTGGAATGGTCCCATTTAATCTGTGGCTGAGAATGCATATGAGACCTGGTTGATGAGGTCACACCATGACCGAACATCTGTGATGTTTCTTGGCGTAGGGAACTTTCTGATCGCCTCCAAGAGTCGTGGGCATGGGCGGACTGTTGTGGCTTATATCTCAAGTCCAGCATATTCAACGGTGTCAGCAGCGAACCCGAATTTGTTGGGGTTGAGGGTGATGCCGTTTCTCCCGCAGACATCTACCCAGTTCACAGTTTGGAAGAATGCATCTTCAATAAATGATGTCGGACCAAAGCAGGGCGTTGTCTATGTATTTGGTTTTGTTGGTGTGTCTGACACGATCTTGTTGTAGCGTCTGGTGTTGCCATCGCCAGATGTGAGATAACCTTGGGGGGGCAACTTTATACCTGTACCTACCTCATGGGGTTATGAAGGTGGTCAGGTGTACATCATCCTCATGTAGTTTGACGCTGTGATACCCTTTCCAAGCCTTGAGGACTGTCTTCTTTGTGTTGTGGGGTACTGATCTTGCCTGTGGAATGGTGAGGCTGTGTGATGCGCTTCCCTTTTGGCGTGTTTGTTCAGTGCCTGGAAGTCGACGGTTTGCGAGGCTTACCGTTTTTCTTGGGGCAGACGACCATTCTGTGACACCATGTGACAGGTTCTCCAATAGGTACTGGCTCAATCACTCTGAACACTCTCTAAACCTGCCTTTACTTCATCCATCCAGTACAAGGTTACAAGGAGTGGGGTGTGGTAAACCACTGGCTTGGCTGTATGGTCTATCATCAGGCGGATCTGAGGGCCTTGCATCATGGGCAGCTGCTGATGTGTGCATGTGTGTTGAATGTGGAGGATGCATATAGTTCTTTCAAGTACTTCTCGCGTCTGCCTCTATTTTCCAAGGTAGCCTTGCATGGTAGCTCCGTGGGAAGTTTGGGGGGGAAGGCGTTGTGGGCATCCACAATGGCTAGTGCTTGCGGAAACTGAGTGCTTAACTTCAGCATTGCTGGATGGGGTTTGCTCCCCAATGGTTGGGAACTTGTCTGATACTATACCCAGACCAATGCATGCCTGTTTGTTCAGGTATAGTTTGTGTGTGTGTCATTTGTGAAGTATACAACCTGTGGGGTTTGACGCTGCCCGCCATTTTGTGCTTCCCTGCGATGCGTAGTACAAGAGCCCCAAGGATGCGAATATATTCGTCACTAGCAGCATTCATTTGCATTGTGACCGGCGTAAGGTGGCTGGTGTCCAATCCGAGCTTTTGCAGGAGTTTGACTCCTGCGAGGTTGTATTGGCAACCAGTGTCGGCTGTGGCCTTGCTATGTATTGTACCAATGCCCTTGGGAGGAGGTAAGAGACCTAGTGTGTCATAGTCAGACGTCTCCAAATGAATAGCCACATCAATGAATGGCTGGGGGTCGGATTGCCTCCGTTCCCATGTTTTGCACATGTCATTGTAGATGTGTTGTTCAAGTTTTATGGCACTCTCCCCATATGACATTGGTACCAATGTTGACTCATTCAAATGAGCACAACAGATCAACACAGTCATCAGCATTATTGTTCATAGAATTCACAGTTGCCGGTGTTTTCTTTCTTGCATTGCCACGACATACAGTTTCAAAGTGTCCCTTGATTTTGCACTCTTTGCAGATGTTGCTGAATGCAGGGCATGTCTTTTCCCTATCATGTCGTCTTGTGGTTCTCCCTGCTGCCACAGTGTCCACATAGCTTCTGTTGTGCGTGGTAGCTGCTGGTGGCTGCTGTGGAGGGGCATGGGATGCTGCGGGGGAACGCCACCCTCTAATGGAGGCGCTGGGCTGACCTTTTGCCGCTTTCCCTGGCCTCAACAAAGGTAATGGTGGCCTCATGTGTCATGTCTTGATCTTGGTCACCCAGGATATCCAGCTGGACGTCCACATCTGCCATGCCTCTAACGACTGAGTCTTTCAGTACAGGGTCCGTATATGAGACCTCGGTGGAGCAGTTGGGGCATGGTATGGTTTTTTTTGCATATGTCAGCTTGGCCCCTGAGACGAGCAGCGAAATTCCTGATAGGCTGATCCCTGTCTCGTCTCATGTTACCGAGTTCTACACGAGAGACCATTACGTTCTCTTGGCGCACTGCCAGTTTCCTGATAGCCCGGAAGATTGTCTCTTCAATTTTGCTCTGGAGGGAGCCGCCATTGGTGTGAGTTAAGTCCGTGCGTAGGGGCTCCTCACAACACTCTAGTAGCTGCACAGCCGCTTCTGGTTCTGAAATGCCTGTTGCTGCCTTGTAGTCAGTTCGTCTTGATTTGAAATAGACTCAGTCCTCTGATGTCTCACCTATGGAGACGGTCGGTCGTCGCACTTTCTTTACTGTAGGTTTCGATGAATGGGCAGTAGTATTGGTGTCATGCTCCTTACTGTGGAGTTGGAGGAGCACAACTGCAAGTTCGAGAGGTGAGTCAGCTGGGGTTGAATAGTCACAGGTAGAGAGGGGGCATGAGATGGTAGGCATTGTGAATGATGAGGTGAAGGGGGTTCAAGCTGTGGTCGGGGATACAGGCAATGATTTGTCTTCGATGAGTGATGGGGGCTTGAACCTCGTACTCTGATCGTAATGAAGTATGATGACGCTTATTTGTTTCTCTACTCTGGGATGTTAATTACATTCAAGCAGGAACAATGATCAGAGTACCCGAGAGACAATGACATAACAATATTTTAGACATTTCAGACACACATCATACTCACTCCACTATTGGTGGTCTAAAATCGATAAGAGTAGGCTTCGACCGCCACCTGAGCAAAATTCAAAATTTCCTACCAACTGAAAATATTTGCTGTTTCCCACGCACTCATATGACCTTATGCAGTTGCGAGCAGAGTAAAACACCAAAACAGATATAAAAAAAGACTCTGAACTGAGTCCAGCATGACGTCCTTTCCGACTTCTGACCCTTGTTTCTAAATATTTCCAGCATTTATTAAATTTTTTTCTATTATAATGATAACAATCGGGATGTGAGCTTTAATATCCAGTTACTAGATCTATTTAAACTGGCCCTCTGTGCATCATTAGTATGAACAGAACAACCAAATTGAGTTGACCTTGCCCGCAGCAAAGTTAATTGTGTCGACCAATGAGATTGCGCGTAGCGATAATGCACTCTCGGCTTGCTGAGGAAAGAGGTGTTGGGAAGAAGCCACGGCTGTCGATTTTGTGTGTTGTGATTTTTAAAAAAATAATTACAGAAAAACTATTAACACACTACAAAATGATATTAAACGTGTAGAAAGACAAATGATGGTGGAAGTAATAAGATAAGATTAGATAAGAATCATCTTTATTGTACGGATCCTGGCACATTGGTTTGGTGTTTCACCACGTGTACACACACACACACATGCACACACACACACATGCACACACATGCAGGCTTACAATCATCTGGATAGAGCAGCAATATAAACAGTAATCAGGGATGCCACTTTTCCGCTTTTTTACCGGTATTTCCGGTATTTTGATCCTGATCCGCTATTCCGTTATTGAGACCGAGATAGAATCTATAGGTCGAAAAGAAGAAAAACCACACACACACACAACAACTTGCGTCAAATGTTCAAATAACGGAAAAACGAAGACTTCGCCATAAGTTCAAATAACGGGGAGAATCCCCCCCCCCCCCTCCCCCCGGATTTTCAGCTATTTAAAAAAAAAGTTGAGTGGCATCCCTGAGTAATAATCTTAAGCTACGAGGGTTGTTCAAAAAGTTTTGCCTCCTCTCCAATAACTTTTAAACTATTCAAGATATCTTCATTAAATTTTACACAATTGACTTTCAATATGTATACTCTCAAACCCCCGAAACAGAATTATGCTATGATGTCACAATTTTATGCTATTGCTGTTTACATCATGGAAGCTAGGGCACATTGTCGCCGAGAAAATGGCGTCCAGCAAACCTATGAATGTGCGCTTAAAACAAAGAGCTGTTATTGAGTTCCTTACTACAGAGAGAGCTGCACCTGTCGACATTCATATAGGCGAATGAAGCTTGTCTATGATGAAGCATGTGTAGATGTAAGTACTGTTCGAAGATGGGCAAAGGAGTTCACTGAAACCAGTCCAGCAGAGACTGATTTGCATGACCAAGCTCACTGTGGAAGTCCCTACTCTGCCAGTGATGTTCAACACCAGGGGAGAGTGGATGAGATCATCCAAGCAAACCGGCGGATCAAAGTAAGAGATTTCAGTGAGAGATGAAATGCTAGGGATTTTTGTAGGGAGTGCTCAGTGTTTTATCCATGATGTGTTGGATTACAAGAAAGTGTGTGCACTGTAGGTTCCCCACATGTTGTCACCAGAGCTGAAATTGAACCGAAGCCAAGTTGGTGATGAACTTCTGGCTCGTTATACCAATGAAAATGAAGCCTTCTTACGCCGTATAGTCACAGGAGACGAGACTTGGGTACACCATTATGACCCAGAGAACAAAAGACAATCGAAAGAATACAGGCACACTGGCTCACCTAGCCCCAAGAAGTTCAAAGTTGTTTCATCTGCAACGAAAGTGCCTATGACAGTGTTTTGGGACTGCGATGGTCTGATTCACATGGAATTTTTTGGAGCAGGGTTCCACTATCAACTCTGAACGATATATTGAGACCCTGAGAAAACTTAGAGCACGGCTGTCTCGAGTTCGGCGCAGAAAAAATGCAATTTTGCACCACGACAATGCCTGTCCACACACGAGTCGACAAACTCAAGATGCCATGAAAAGTCTCAGATTTCAACAGACCTTACCCCACCCATCATACAGTCCAGACCTTGCTCCATCTGACTTTTATCTTTTTCCTAAGTTGAAGGAGTACCTCAAAGGAAAACGTTATGCAGATGACGATGAAGTTCAAGCCGATGTGCGTTGCTGGTTCAGAGGAAAACCACATGAATTTTTCGCCGATGGCATGCACCAACCTATTCGACGTTGGCGGATCTGCATCAACAAAGAAGGCAACTGTGTTGAAAAGTAAAGGCACTGTCATGTAGCAGACGTTCTAAGCTTTCATTTGGTGTATAACTTTTGTATGTAACATCAGTAATAAAGAAATTATTAACTTGGAGGCAAAACTTTTTGAAAGACCCGTGCAGATACATACTCAATGTTATTCTGATGCATGCTCTAAGGTCATGTGAATACTTAAATACATGATGATTAAGATGGAAGAATTTTGATGGATGATGGTAGAAATGACTTTATGTATCTTTCTTTGTTACAGATTAGAAGCCTAGGTCTTTTATTTCTGACTCTTGTTTTTATTTGAGGGAAAAAGGGATGTTTGTTGTCTAAAGAGATGGAATTGATTTTTTTAGTGCAAGCTGTTGTGTATAATTGATCCAAGTAGGGGAATGTAGATGTTGAAATTTTACTTGCTTTCTGTATTAGTCGATTTAATTTTTCTTTATCTTGTTGTTTTGTGTTCCCGGCCCATGCTGTTATACAAAAATTGATCATACTTTCTGTGGTTGAATGATAGAATATGGACATCATTGTTTTATCAACTTTATAATACATGAGCTTCCTTAGAAAAAATAGTCTTTTGTTCACTTTTTTATGCAGGAGAGAAGTGTGGACACGCCAGTTGAGTTTGTTGTCTATTGTATCACCCAAATACTTATTGTCTGACACTTGCTCGATGTTTTCACATTTAATTTCGAGTGGCTGCAGGGGCAATTTCTTTTTAAAAAATCAACAACAAGTTCTTTGGGTTTTTTCACATTTAAAATGATGATGCTGTAGTGGTGGTGGAAAGACCCTGTTGTCAGTTACCGTGTACTTAGACACTGCCGTTGGGCAATGAGAGTGCAGTCTTTTGACTTGTCACACAATTGCACAGTCTTAGTAGGTAATTCTAGTTCTAAATCTAGTTTTACGTAAAATCCCCCGACGACAGTATTATATAACCTCCATACACTCACATAACTCACTTGCAAACAGTGTCCGAATGAATTTTTAAAAATTTCGGACCCGAGTCCGAATAGATAAAACCCATATTCAGGCTTGAATCCGAATAGGTAAAAAATCTAATCGGACTCGAGTCCGAATAGAGCTGGTCTTTGACAAAGGACTTGTCAGAAATTATCGTGTCTCAATGTCATTGACGTTCATTTTAATGCTGTGTTTTAAATAAATTATAAAATAATGTAAGGCTTTGAATGGTATTTATGGAATACCTGACAAAATCGTCAAGCTTGTGAAGACCACCTATGATGGAACAGACTGCCAAGTCCTCCACGAAGTACAACTCTCAGACCCATTCCAGGTATAGACAGGAGTACGACAAGGATGTTTGCTCTCACCTTTTTCTCTTTACACTGGCAATTGACTGGGTCTTGAAAGAAGCCACCAGAGGCAAGCGCAATGGAATACAGTGGATCCCTTGGCAGCAGCTGGACGACTTTGACTTCGCCAATGACCTTGCACTGCTCTCTCACACACATGCTCAGGTGCCAGAAAAGACCAAGAAGCCCAACAGCCTATCAAGGAGTGTTGGCATACGTATACATCTGGGCAAGTCGAAAGTAGTCAAGCTAGTAAAAGTTTCAAGCCCTGCTGTGACAGTGGAAGACACTCCCCTGGAAAAAGTGGACCCCTTTACCTATCTTGGAAGTGTCAATTATGGTAAAGGTGGAATGGAGGCAGATGTAAAAGCAAGAACCGCCAAGGTGAGGTCAGCATTCAATCAATTATCAAAAGTCTGGAAAGCAAGCAACATCTCACTGCGCACCAAGATTCGACTCTTTAATTCCAGTGTCAAGTCTGTGCTCCTCTACGGCTGCGTATATATAATTATATATATATGTATATATATATATATATATATAATTATATACATGTTGTGCTTGATTCTGAGATAATTTTATGATCAATAGGTGGAGTTGCTGACTTATTAATTAGCCTGGAAATTAGGCATGACATCAAGTTATAAGGTGATGATTCTGTAGGTGCTTGCAAATTATACACCTGAAATGGATAACCTTCACCAGGCACTGCACCACCCTGAATTTCATTGTTATAGAGCAAAAGTTTTTTCTCATTTCGCTAAATGGTATCACTTTTTATGTAAATAATAAGCAGTTTATTATGTTCTTACTGGGAGGATTGAAATATTTCAATAAAAATCCTTATTATAAAAATCTCATATACTCATCAGGCTGGGCTCGGTTGTGAAAGGACGAGAGTGCACCATCAGAGAACACCACAAATCATGGATAGAACGTGGAGCCATCGAGGAGTCTCCTACAGAGTCTGTCTGGTTTCCCTCCTTGTTGGCATATGGCCGTTTTTGCTGGGGTTTGGTGCCCCAGACTGGCTGTGGTTTAAGAAGTCTGGTATGAACGGCACAGAGATGGATGGTACCTTTGGCCTGTGGGAGCTGTGTGTAGACAACCAATGTTCCAGTAATCCTGTCATTGGAAATGAGGTGGTTGATGGTAAGTTGTCCATTTACTCTTTTCTTTTGACCATCTGGATCTCCAAAAATGGGAACTCATAACAGATAAACGCACTCAGAGAACAAGGATCGTCTGTCTCATGTCTTGTTTACCAAATTATCTGACTTACAAAAGCAAGGACTGAGGACCCAAAGACAGTTTGAAAAGGTTTTTTAAGCCGTGAATCATTTGTACTGTTTTTATCTGTTCACTGACATTGCTTTGGGGGGGGGGGGGGGGGTGATTTGAACTTGTGGTGGTTAATGTATGTTTTTTGTCAAGAGAGGTTAAGGATCATGTGCCGTACCAATTCTCTGCAGGGGCAGTGTTACCTTGTGCCTAACAAGTGTTTTGTCTGGAAGGGGTCTATTATCATCATGTATTATTATCTGCTGGGAGGGGGAGGGGTCCTGATCTTGTATGTATGTGTGTTCTAATAGGAAAGGAGGGGGGGATTAGCTTTTATGGCAAGAAGAGTCTTGTCCAGAGAGCAATCTTATATCATCTAGACTACTCTTGTTTACCAAGGGACAACCCACCCACTTTCAAATCCCCCTAACATCATCTTTGTAGAGTGACAGATTTACATGTAATTGAGAAATTTTTATATGTTGATGAGAGTGGCAAAGTGGAATGTGTAGCCTCCTGTGGTAGGCTACTTGCCATGGGGCTATTAACACTTTGCCTCCACAGGACGCCTGATTAAGAATCCGCCTCTTTCCCCCATGGGACGCTGATCAACGACGGTGTGATATAGCACCAAAAGTATAGTAGGAATGTTCTCCTTTTAGACATTCGCACTTGTTTAAGTTATAATTTCCTTTTTTGAATGGTTAGTGGGATTTTGTGGTCCCAATGATTAAGTTGAACTTTGGATGACTGATCTTTCATCTTTTTTGTTTTATTCCCCTGGCGACATTAACTCATCTGTAGTCTTGTAGTCAACTGTATTCTGTAGGCCTGGGGTATGTTTGCCCAACTGTGTTGTGCTTCCCAGTTTTTATTCACAAACTTTGCTGTTCTTTCCCAGATTGGTTCATCGTGGTGGTCATCCTCCAGACCCTGGCCCTGCCCTTCTACATCCTGGCTCTGGTGTTAGCCCTACTGCAGAACTTTACACCTCGCAGCTGGCTGCAGTCCATGCGATTGCGGAGGTTGCGGCTGTTGCTGCACCGTGACAGTGAAACTCCAGAGGATCTAGCTTTTGTGGCAGGTAGATGGGTGCCTTAATCTTTCTGTCTTATTTTCATAAACTTTAAGGGGCATAGACCATCAACAATTTCTCCCCAAAGATGTTTTTCCTGTGCATCCTCCAGTTATCCAAGTTTGCCCTGTTTCCTGGCATCTGCTTCCCCCTTTCTCAACCACGTTTTTGGCCTTCCTGTGTTACGGTTACTCTAACCTTGAGGGTTTTATCTGAGTGATTTCTAGTCATACTTTCATCACTTTTCTAAAAGGATACTCGAACAGGAAAAATATGAAGATTTTGAAAATGATGAAGTTGTACGTCTTTGGATACTTTACAAAAGAATTAGAAATTTTTGCTTGAAATGTGTATTTTAAGACCGATGCTCTTTGAATACGTAAAAAAATATATGCAAGGTTTGAGGAAAAAACTTAAATGAAAGATTGACTATATGAATAAGAGAAAGAAAAGGAAGGTGAGGATGAGGAAGGTAATGGGTTTGTGGCATAGAAAACAGCGTGACTGTATTGCTGAGGGAGAGAGGTTAGCTTTCCACACAGCCCTCAGGGGTGTCGCAGTGACATTTAGGCTCTCCTCATTCACATGGGGACACTTAGGAAAAAAAGATGTCAACAGTGTTGACAAAATCATTTCTGGAATAGATAGAGTGATCTGTTGTTTGTTTGTTTGTTTCTTGCAGAGCTGAATAAGTCTGAGGGTCGGTTTTTTAGTGCTTTTTCCTCACTCATTCTCTCTCAGTCTTGAGTTTTGTCACCATCCGGATGTTTAATTCTTCTCTCTTTCTTTTTTTTTCTTCTCCTTCGTTTTGGGTTTGTGGCTGACACCATGATGAAGAACATGTCTAACCCCCGAGGCGGTGCTACTGACTGAAGTGTCTTTAGCAGGGCTGCCTAAATCTACCGATTTTCCCGGTATATACCGATTTTGGGCCTGTTCTACTGCCATACCCATAATGTGTCAGAACTACCAGATTTGCGATGGGTGCCGAAAGAAGAAAAAACCCATTCTGCAGTGCTTCCATTCTTCTTTTTTTTTCATACATGTGTACATTCTGAGAGTTCCGTACTTGCCGCATCATCATATCAACTGGATGTGTTAGAGAGAGAGAGAGAGAGAGAGAGAGAGAACAGCACCTGCCTCAGTAACTTGTCAGATATTTACGGCAACTTTCGGCAATAAGTTGTATTAGTATTAGAAACTGCCAGATTGCGTTATACGTGGATGGATCTGTTAAATGTGGAGGAAAGTCTGGATGGGGCTTCTCAGCAAGAGTGAGTGTCTGATTGGTGCAGGAACAGCAAAGAGCATACAATATGACAACATCTAGCATGAGAATGGAGACGGAGGCAATCACTCAGGCTCTCAAATGGACACAGACTTTCAGAACACTGAGGAAGATTGAAAGTGGGAACTTTAGAGCTGAATGGACAGAGCTCCTGAAGAAGACGACACTAAAAAAGATCACCTGGATCTTCACCCCGGGCCATGCTGGAGTCAAGGGCAATGAGCGGGCTGATGAGCTTGCTTGGAAAGCAAAACCTGAAGGGAAGCTGTGCCCTGACAAACCTGAAATTGTACGTTCAGTCAGGGAAAAATGGGAAAAAGAACAAGAAGAGTTGGAATACCATCATCTTGAGCGCCTTCGCGAGTTTGGAATTGGATGGGGCGCCTGCAGAAAATCAAGACTTAATGGGAGGAGCAGAAGGCTATGAAATCAAACATTGCTTGGAACCAACAGCGCCTACACACTTTGAGATGTGCTTCTTCTGGGGACGTTGAGCGCTTATGGGAATACCCCTTGTGCAGTGATGTCGGTCCTTCACACAAGTAACAAGATTTACAGTTAATAAAAATTTGTAAGATGCATTTTGTGCGTAAAAAACACAGTGTTGCCATACAAATTTAATCTATATTCTCACTGCTGTCACTATAATGGCAAAAAAAGGGGAAAAAAAAGAAAACAAGCTTCCTCCGATTTCTAGATTGTCGGGCCCGTCATCGTGACCTGTCATTGAACCTGTGCGAATTTGTGTTTCGCATCGTGTGGGTACGACACGAGTAAGGGACCGGCCGGTGGTTTGGGTTAATCAAAGTTCATTCAAAGTAGGAGCGTTGCAGGGCTTCGGAATTGAGGGGAGGTGTTTGACGCAATAAAGTCTACGGCAGCTGGATAAGGCCACGGTGCAAGAAACTGATGCTAAAATAAAAACGATAAGTGGAAGTGGTTTTGACATTTGACATCAAGTGAGTAAATGAGGGAACATTAAAGTACAGGCTTGATGATTGTATCTTCAATATTGGGGTTCCTGGATTTGTCAGTGATGACAAATTGAATAGTCGCAGTGAGGAAATGCCATTTTCAACCGTCGGAAAGCTCTATGTTGGATGCCTATGTATCATGATGGCTTGTCACACACACACACACACACACACACACACACACACACACACACACACACATGTGCATGCACAAACAAGTTTTCAAAACATAATTTCCCAATATCACGAAAAGCAAGTGCGTGCGATGTGGCAACAATCATCTTTTTTTTTTCCTTTTTTGTCTTTGTACTATCTGATTTTGGGCCAAATTAGCTGAAACTGACCCTGAATCTGTCTGAAATGGGAACTTTGAGGTAGGCAGCCCTGCTTTAGGCCATTCCCAAAGGGGGGACTTTTACATGTTCTTATGCACAGTAGAATTATAAATGGGCCGATTCATCAATAATGTCATGCTCATAACTGTGCCTGAACTGCAACAGGGAACTGCTGCTTTTTTTTTTCCTAATCCTTATTATCGTCATTTGTCCTCTACTTCTTTTGTATGTTTGTCACACTCTTGTGACCCTCAATTTCTGGGGTGTCTTGATATTGGAAGCATACTTTGTGCCTTTGAAGCTAGAAAGGTGAGCAGAGTTAACCTGATTCCCTGTAAAGACTTCTCTGTTGACATCCACCCCTTGGCGCTCATATGACCTTGTGCAGTTGCGAGCACCGTAAAAACTCTATTAAGACTAAAAATTAAAAAGACCATGTCTTTCTCCTTTCATTTTCTCCATCTCTTTCTTTCTTGTTGAAATTATGTTTGAATGTGTCCTTTTCCTTCCTTTTAAGGTTTCTTGGGTTTTGTTGGCATCATCGTATTCATGATAATGACGTCGGAGGAAGTGTCTCATGGGGCGTACTACTCCTGGGGCTTTGCCATGTCCTTCACGGCAGCCAGCATTTTGGTCATCACAGGGGTCATCATGTGCAAGACACACAGCCCAGCACTGCCCAGCCCCACACAACCTTCTGAGCCACGAGTAGTGCACACCATGGCTCCTGCCGCTGCAGCGCGGGCTGGAGACCCCCGGGAACCATGGTGGCGCTGGTGACCAGGGCTGTCAGTGGCTCCTGTTATATGCTATTTCATGTGCTTACCAAGGTTGTGATCTGAATATATATACTGCTGTCTTTCTCATTGGAGGGGCTTTGTTGTCTCTGTGAACTCAAACTGTCTTGTTTTTTTAATTGTAGAAACAAATTTTAATATTCTTTGAGAATATTTGAAGGAAAAATGTATACATCTTTAACACAATTGCCTCCCTGAAACTTATGTCAAAACCTTAATGTGTCTTGTTTGCATGTAGCCTTGTATGGCAGAATCATATGTATTACAACACACAGCTATGTGCTACCTTCCAATCATGACATAGCCAGCCCTTTATTGCAGAATGTATAGGACATTCCTGTTGCAAGAGGTGTTACAAATGGCCCTTCATGCCTGGTTCCGAGCACCAGGTCTATAAAGTCTGTCACTTGTGATCTTGTGTGGGAATAAAAGGGAAGCTTTCAAATGAATCTTGTGCAAGGAAATATTTGTCATGGTATCGGGGATGAAATGTGATAACTTTCATTGAAATTGGATTCTTGTTTGGAATGTGATTATGATGTGAGGTGAGTTGTTTTGTTTATGCTAGATGGGGGCAACAGGTACTACCTACACTGTCACTAACCGATGGCACCTGTAAGTTTGTCCTCAAACATAGTTCCAGAGTTCTTTGCATATGCTTCTGCTGAAACTGAATGGAAAAATAAGTAAAAAAGACCCTGTCCCCTTCTCAGGCCACTAGGCAGAGGTAGTCTGTCTGATGTCCCCCTAAATATTTTTTCTGCTTCAAATAACGTGATTTTGTTTCATGACTCGCACCTTGACTGGTAGGTCATTTGATTTGTCGCTCACTGACCGTTTGGTCAACCAACTGGTTGTTCTTCGGCGAGTTGTTTGTTTACTGGCTAGTTCTTGAATTTTTTATAGTGACGGACTAGTCCTTGACTTCTTGATTGTTGACTGAATAGTCCTTTTTTTAAAATAGTTAACTGATTAACTGAATAGTCCTTTACTTTTTGATGGTTGAATGACTAGTCCTTGACTTTTTGGTGGTTGAATGACTAGTCCTTGATTTTTTTGATAGTTGACTGACTAGTCATTTACTGAATGGTGGGTTAACTTCCTGGTCATGGTCATTAAATGACAGGCTTTTGACTGACCTGTAATAACTTACTGGACACTTGTCTGCCCTCAGAGACTGTCTACTCAGCCTCGTGGAAGAGAATCCTAAAAGTGTCATTTTGTACTGCAAACTTTATACTTTTTTTAAAGGTATGCTGAGCATGGCGCCGAAAATGTCACTGTGCACAAGCAGTATTTTAAAGTTGTGGTCTCATCTTTAGCTCAGTTAATGTTATGCTGGGCTATGGTGCAGATGGCCGTGGTTGAAATCCCTGTTTTTGAACTTGTATTGTTTGGTGAGTTTTCATTACACTCCACCCCATCCGCTTGGTCCTATCAGTATCAGAGATGGGAGTTATATCTGATGGTCCTACCTCTTTAATAAACCTAGCAGTGTTGAAAGGTAAACCCAGTGTAATTACAATGTTGTTGCATTTACAAACACTTGTGGATTGTATGGTCTTTTCTTGTTCTTGCTGTTTGACTCCCTGAGGGATCCTCTATCTTTTCTTGTACCTCTTGTAACTCTTATTTGTTTGTTCCTGAGGATTTGAAGATGAACAATGTGAAACAGGTCTGAAATTAGCCACCTATTATTGTTATATTTCTGCATGTATTTCAGACCAGCATTGTTTTTACTGAATGACATTGTATATTAGTACTAGTGATATTGGGTTCTTGTCTCCTTTTCACTTCCTCTTTTCTTTCTTTCTCTCTCTCTCTCTCTCTCTCTCTCTCTCTCTCTCTCTCTCTCTCTCTCACACACACACAACTCACACACTCTCTCTGTCGGCCCCTCTCCCTCCTTTGCCTCATAGTCATTCCTTTCATTCCTTTGTCCGATTGCCTCACTGTGCAGAATGGCAGACCAGTGAATCCTGTGGGTCTGTGATAATGGATCATCTAGCAATATTGATGGGACAAGGCATGCACTTTTGCAGCTTTAGTCTCATTCCAAGAGGATCATAAAAAATGACTGAGAAAAAAAAAGGATGTGAGAGAGAGACACTAACTATGTACAGAAAAGTTGTATGGCTGGATGCAGATGTCAAGGACCAAATCAAATACCTTACAATACGTCTTTAATTTTGTTAAATGTCCTGTGTGTATGGAATGTGAAAATATTGTTTCTACTTAAAAAAGCAGACTTAACATACTGTGTTTCAAAAATGATTATTTGCTATACACTGTATGTATTTGGTTTTGTTTCCAGTGGATTGTTTGTTCATCATGAATCAATATGATCAAAATGTGTTCAAGTTCTGCAAAAATGTTTTCTTTTTGAAAATTAAACTGGGTTTTTTTAAAATGCCAGATGGCTGAACAATCACTGTTGAAAATACGTTCTTCTGTTTTATATTTTGGCAATTGATACAGTTTGCTTTGAGTTATGAAAGTAGATCCCATATATAAGTGTTGTAAGTAAACATTTCAATCCTTTAAGTGAAATAAGTGTCGGTCTCGTTTTAAATGAAGATAAATTTTGTCAGTCTTTATCTTTTGCCTTAGGGCCAAGTGTACCATAGTGCTTGGGTTTAGGAATGTGTCATGTCTTATTGTTAAATGTACGCAGTAAATTTGGATTATTATTGTCTATTTTTTACACTCCATTTGACACATTTAGATCATTATGGAGGGGGGCTGCTTTGGCCTCGCCTTTGTGGACCAACGTGGGCTGTGTGGGGCCCTTTGCTGCTGAAAGCTGGACATACTCTATAAAGTATCTGCCACACTTGAGAAGTGAACCCATGATTTTTTTTAGGCTTAGGGGTTAACTCTTAACAGCATTACACATCAGAGGTTGTTCAGTCCAGGTGAGAGTGGCATTTGATTGAAATACTACGTATTTATTGACTGTACATAGCAGACACAAAGCCAACATATGTAAATAGGAAGAGCTTCAGATAATATGTGTGTACTTATGTATACATATCACCATTCTTGCAAGAAAAACACTGTTAATATATTTTTTTTTGTTCACCCTGTAAAACAGGGTCAGAGTTAATAAATTTTCTTGTTAACAGCGGCTATATGTAGTGTATAGTGCTTGCTTGTTTACTGTTCCTGACTGTAATGTTCTCGGCTGATGTCAGTACGCACTGCTGAAGACCATGCCTTATGTTGATCCCATTCCACAAAATAGCCTGCCTACTCGTATCATTGTTTTACCAGCAAAATTATGCATTTGAATTTGCTATTAAAACCTTATTCATGTCACATGTATAAAATTCTATTTGTTGTAGGAATGTGTGTGACAGAGCTAGATTCTAGTCCCGGAGTATGTTTATAATCTGATGCAAGTTTCTGTGTGTGCATCTTGTTTGAAGACAAACTTGATCTGCATGACTCAGTATTTCTTGAGGGGGCTTAGTAGCTCAACAGGTAATTGCATTGTCTGTCAACTTGGAAGTCCAGAGTCTGATCCCAGCAAGCATTGGGATTTTTCTAATATTTAAACACCCACACGCACGCGCGCGCGCGCACACACACACACATGCGCACACACACGCACACACATGCACACACACACACACACACACACACACACACTGACTCCTAGAGAAGGTAGTCTCGAACACCTGGTTTTCTCTAGGGTAAGGACGAAAAATTTCGGAGGTCACATGGGGAAAGTTTCACACGTTAAAGATCTATTTTCAGTTCTAAAATTGAAGAGAAGGCCCACGGGGCTGCCATCTAGGCACAGTTCAAAATGAATCTCTACCCAAAAAACTGAGGCCTCTCTAGTCAGTGCAAAATTGTTAATATTAAGAGTACCTTAAAAAACGGCATATTATTGTGGTTGCCTGTCAGGCAACGGTTGATTCTTCCTACATTCTATCATGTAGATAAAACGTCATGTACGTAAAATCGTTTGCACTGTCATATCCTACAGTGAGTTTCTCCCTGATCTCTAGCGGGGTATGAGAAGAAAAGAATATTTCCTGCTAAATGTTAATTTTTTGTCAGTTAATAACCTTTGAATTTATGCTTTTACTTTTGCGAATTTCTGTTGATGGCTGGCGTGATTGCTGAGCTCAGGCATGTTTGTCTCCCTACCTCATGTTTCACTCTCGTGCCACATTTCATTCACACCATCCAGACTTTTCAATACAGAAGAGTTTTACACTTGTCATGTGGGGTTGGTTATGCTTGGAATGAAGTTGCTGGAAACAAGTACTTGACTATCTGAACCATTTTCAGGGAAAATGCATGGATAAAATGAGGAATGAAACTGAAGAGAGGTTTTTGTAGTATGGTATGGTATGTTAGATGTCAGACTTTGCCTCCATTGTGCCTTCCTGGTACTTTCACTACTTTCAGTGCACTATAGAAGCTGCCAGGGTCAGCCAGTTTATTTTCATGTCTACATTAGTGTCAAGACCTTCAATATGATGTATACCACACAAATTGTCAACTCTTTTGACATGTCAAGATTTAAAAAAATTATTTTAAATTTGGTTTCATGCCTTCAGAGTGAATGGTTTGACTTTGTCAACAAGAATGGTTTCCAAACTTGGTAAGTACACTCAGTTTTTTCCCATTTGAATATATAATATATATAATATCTTTCAATACATCAGAAAATTCAATGTTATTTGACGGATATAATATTTCTGAACCCCCCGGGGCAGTGCCACTGACCGTAGTGTCTTTAGGCCATTCCCAAAGGGGGGACATTTCTCGTTCAAGCACAGTAGAATTGTAAATGGGCTGATTCATCATGTCACACTCGTAACTGTACCTGATCTTCAACAACAGGGAACTGCTGCTTTTTCTTTCCAAATCCTTACTATCATCATTTTTCCTCTACTTCTTTTGTATGTTTGTCACTCTCTTGTGACCTGCTATTTCCGGGGTGCCTTGATAGTCAAAGCAGACCTTGTGCTGTTGAAGTTAGAGAGGTGAGCACAGTAAGTCCCTGTAAAGACTTCTTTGTTGACACCCACCCCTTGGCACTCATATGACCTTATGCAGTTGCGAGTGCCGTAAAACCCTCTACTATAAAAAAAAGATATATATATATATATATATATATATATATATATATATATATATATATTTTTGAAATAGTTTATTAGTACTGACTGCAGAGATGAGCAGGTGGAGTCAAGTTGTGATATCATCAGGAAGTGAGAAAATGGAAAAGTCCTGTCTCATCTGATGTCAAATTGTCACATTATCAGGAAGTGGAGAGGTTGTCTTTTCTTACGTTAAATTATGAAATTACCTGGAAGTGGAAAAGATTGTCTCTTCTGATGTCAAATGGTAACATTATTAGGAAATAAGACAGTGGGGATTCAGGAGAGGTTCCATCTTAACTGATATCAAACTGTCATGTCGTTAGAAAGCAGAGAAGTCATCTTTTCCAACGTCAAAGACAAGTTGTCACGACATCAAGTAGGAAAAAGTTTAGAGATCTTGCCTCCTCTAATTTCAAGTTGTCTCATCGTTTGAAAATAGAGGGGTTGTCTCCCTTGGCATCAAATTGGGACTTCATCAGTAAGTGGAGAGACTCTGTTTCATCTGACATCAAGTAGATCTTGAGATTGATCAAAATGTGAGCTTAGATCATTGTCAGAATCCT